TTAATAGATATTCTCATTCAACATCCTAAAGGTACTTTTGGATAACCGTGTATATTCAAAACACGTAACTGGAATCGCAGGTGAGCCATATAAAATTCTAATAGAACATTTTCTTTCGGCATTGTCGCACGAAAGCGTATCATATAAACAAGGTCTAGTTTGACACGAGTTGTTTATGTGTTCATTCCAATTCCATCTATCGGTGATCGCTTTAAATTTCCCACAATCAATTTTGTTTGTCAGAAGTTATAGGCAATACTGCGCTCAAATACTAAAAAATAATTTGACGCAACTTTAACAATATAAAACTTTATTGAATTAATCAAAATACATAGTTTTAGGATTACGAAACCAAACATCTGTCATTCCATATACCCATTGTTTTTCTTTTACATAATTTTTTCTGAATATGCACCGTGAAAAACAGCATTTGGAGTATTTTCATATCAAAACCATGAGATTCCGATACATAAATGAGATACTTCAATAGACCGATAATTTACCAGAGTCACTGTAAAAAATGTGTACTATATTAATCGGTAGACTGCGGATCTTGATGTATTTATAGAAAATTTGAATGTGCAAGAAACTACAAAATGGAAACGATATGCAAGAATATAACAAATATTGAAAATAAAGTTCATATTATAATATTTGCAGAATAAAATAAATTCCTATTTAGGTTCAATTTTTGTAGGCACATTTAAAAAGCTTTTATTTTGCATAAAGATCCGCAATTTATATTATCACTTTTGTTATTCAGCGGCTAAGTTTCACAGCGATCGTAGTTATTTGTTTCTATCGATGTTATTTTTATCTGGGTGTTTTCACGGCGACACGTGTCACCGTGTGATTTGCTAATAGCAGGACGAGAAATCGTGATCGTCCACACGAAAGTTGCACTCCACGTGTAACGATCCGGGTAGGCCGTGAATGGCCGCAACGATAAATATAACCGTGCCGCTGAACTGTAAGTTCAGCACGTGTATCGGTGAAATTTTTATACCGTGCACAACATCGTCCAACTCTCCTGTCCCACGCGCACATCGGATCCAGTTCCAGTCATGCGAAAGTAACAGTTAGATTCGATTCAGTTCACTTAATATTTGTCGAAAATCGTATTTTTTATACAGGGCACCCAGAACAAAACATTACAAACTGTTCTGTTAGAATTTGATGAAGATATGTTCCTTAGTGTGCAAGGAATACAGACAAATCAAACACATAGAATTCTTGCTTTATGTTTATTAAAAAGGAAAAAGAAAATAGACAAAGAAAGAATTTACAATGCAGAACAGCAGAGGAACTACAAAAAAGAAATAGAACATCGCACATGCCAAATTCACTTACCACATTAGAAAAACAAACCACAAAAAATAATTACATTTCAACAAGATATCGGCTTAATTTTTGTTATAATTATATGATACAGGGGATTAGTCTTGTTGGGCGTTATTTTCCTTTTCGAAGTCACTATTAGAGGAAAGAATTGGGTTTCTTCAATTTTTTTGAAGATAAAGGGAAATGAAAGTGGTATTTATTTTCTGTTTCCTGGATAGCCCTCATCAAACTGAATATTATTTGTTTGAACCTTTTTTTAAAATTATGCATATTTACAGAGATATCAGATTTAGCTGAATTATTACTAAACTGCAGATTTTATGCATTTATGGTATGCACCAATAGGAAAAACATACGAAAACATATATATTGCATATGTAGAACATATTCTCTTAATTAATATAATAATATTATTATTTCGTTTTGCAGTAGTACCTACACATTTTTGTTATGTTCAGTATAATATACTAAATATATTATATTTGTCATATTCACTTGCATCATAAATGCTTAAAATCCGTAGTTCTCACGGTAGTATAATAAATAAACGTAAAACCTTTGGATTGGAGAAATAGGAATTTGAAATAACAACGAAATCAAATAATTGTACGATATATTATTCCGTCTGCTTCGAATACTGAAAAATAACATTTCCTTTTATTCCACTTAATATTCGATTGAATAAATTTATTATATTTTAATTCCCGATATAATATTTTATAACTAACATTACTAAATACATTGCATTATACGTATATAATGCATATTGTCAAATAAAGTGTAGACAGCTAAGAGAAATGATGGTTTTTCTTAATAATAATGGTATATACATATAAAAGTTACCTAAGTGTAAGGCGTGACACATATCACATTCATTGTTTACACTTGCGACATAACACTCACTTCTTGCACCTGGTACGATCGATATTATTGAAGTTAACATTTGCTTGCGATAAATTCCTATAAATGCATTATTTTGTCCGAAAAGACAACTTTGAAAATAATGAACGTGT